TAAATTGATGCTATCAGTGTTCCTGCTACACATAAAAAATTTAGAAAACCTTTTTACAATCCCTTTAAACATGACCTTAATGTCAGTCGAAATCTAACTGTGTCATACCCCTGTAGGCCATATTACATAATGACCTCCATAATTGACTGACAGGTCATAGGTTATAATTTAAAGGACAGGTCAAAGTTGAGAAAGGTCACTTTTCAATCAGAAAGAACTTATTATAACTTAGGAAAGGTCAGTTACTTCTTTTCAATTGTTTTGGGCAATTTATATATTGACCTGTAGTGGGTTACTTAGGGATAAAAGGGCATATGTCAAAGTTCAAAGGTCAAAATTTAGAAATTGGAATTGGTCTGTAAGTTTGTGGAATGGTAAAGAATATGCCTTACATAAGGACAGCACCATGAGGGTTCGTCAGTTTTTAGAAATCTGCTTAGGTTCGTTCTTTCCCTGCTTAGGTCAAGATGATACCTTCAGATTTTTCAACCCGGTTTCTCCCTGTCAGTGATACAGGTAAGAGGGGCTGACATGGAAAAAGCGTCTTGTCGTTCAGAAGGGACAATAAACCGAGGCCCTGTGTGCTACAGGCTTTGCACGTTTAAGATTCCACGACAGTTGGAAATCGAAAAAGAGCAGGCTAATGCCGCTGTCCTGGCAAAATTTTCCTGATGGCACCCTGCATGACGTTGCCTGTCTTCATTAGCCCACATGGTGCAGAAAAGTAGGATGTAAAACTCCATTCATTTAATAATTGAGATTGAAGCAGACTTTAATTTGTTGGGTTTTTTTATTTTGGATTAATGAGTTAGATTTCACGAAAGGAAAGTTTCGTCTTCTAATTTGAACCAGTTTTGTACTTGTTTGTGAATCATTGAGTCACAAGATGTAGGGTGACACACTTGGAATTGCACGAACAACAGACATCTGATTGAAAATTAGAATGGTGTAAATTGATACTATCAGTGTCCCTGATGAGCATAAAAAATTTAGAAGACCTCTTTATAATCCCTTTAATGTCCATTCTAAGAGGTAGTATACCTTTAACCCTTTGCCTGGTAAAATTTCTTTAAAATTGGCTTAACCCTGTACACTATAGAATATCTTGTGAATCTAATGAGGTCATAGGTTAAGCCCATTAACCCTGTGACTATGGTGAAATTTCTCTACTTTGGTTTTCTCCAGCTGTGCAGACATGTTTTTGTTTCATTTTTCTACTTCTGCACTGTTTCGTGGCAGAAGTGTGATGTTGCTATAAATAGAACTGTGAAAGAATTTCGACATACTTTCCGTACATGATATTTTTAGTATTTAAATGACTTCGGATTTAGTTTTTGGATATGTGGGTCTTTGGACTGAAGACTTTTAACAAAACGTTGCCGTCTGCACCAATTTTCAGGGTAAAAACTTATTTTTTATGTGTATCAGAGACACTGATAGCATCAATTTAAACCATTACAATTTTCAATCAGATATCTGTTGTTCGTGCACTTAAAATAAGTGTTTGTTGACGTCACTAATCGCGAAATATGCTTTATCATATAAGACCGTACGCGATTAGTGACATCATCAAATACTTAGTTTTAGTGGAATTGCAGGAACCACAGACGTCTGATTGAATATTCTTGTTTCTGTTTTGAATCATACCTGAATTTGCACAGGGGTGTTTGCTAAATTATTTTTTGTATACATTCACAATGTCAAGCTATTTTGAACTCTGTCTTATACTTTGACTGTAATAGGCACTTTTCTTGTATCATGGAAGTTTGTAAGTGCATTTGATTTGATTGTTTACTGGTTAACAGACCATAAACTAGTTTGTGTCTGCCATTGTAGACACCATTGTGTTTTATAACAAGGCATTTGATTGGATAATATTCAACTCTCACAAGGGAGATAAATCATATATTTAAAGCTTGCTAAAATGTCAAGGTATTAGACAGAGTTTGTAATAGCTTGACATTGTGAAGATGGTAGCAAACTTCTGTGATACAAGACAAGTGTTTAATGATGTCAAGGTATCAGACAGAGTTGGTAATAGCTTGACATTGTGAAGATGGTAGCAAACATCCATGATACAAGACAAGTGCTCAATGGTGTCAAGGTATCAGACAGAGTTGGTAATAGCTTGACATTGTGAAGATGTAGATTTTATATTTGCATAAAATATTAGTTTCTTTGTCTAAATTTACTTTGCTTTTCTTTCGCTTTTATTATCTAGTGGTTTTATTATTAAGTAATTGTTTTAATGCGGCCATTTTTTAATGCCATGTT